TTATTAAACAATTACTCTAAACGTTACAACAGGCAATAAGTAAATAAAGAAACAGTTGCTAATTACTTTATTTGTTTAACACATTTGTGACAAAACCACTCGTCTAAGGTTGTGTAAGAAAATGATAACTCAGTGATGCACAAATCATTGCTACATTATAACAGCCCGCTCTCAGAAAATATAATCCTTCAGTAGAAAAAATAAATAATGTCAGTTAAAAAAAATCACCGCGGTAATAGGTACTTCAAAGTCAATTAATACCTAAGCAACAATTTAATATGTGACATTAAATCAGTCGACCAACAACAGTCCCTATAAAAATTGTAATTAACTTTGTAAAGATTATCATAACATGAAACATTTTTTGTTTTTCTAAGTCATAATTATTGTTGTAAGATTCCATTTTTCATTAGGCTCGGATTTTCCAGAAAGCAAACTGATAATCAAAAGTTTTGCAGAATACGATGATTTTTTACATACTAATAATGAGACGGAAATTTAAATTGTAATCAAAATTGTTTTTTAATCACAAATCAACGTAAAAATTATAAGGCACCACGGAAATATCGGTGTATAACATAAACACACAATGATCGTTATTGCTAATGTAGGAAGTTGTTAAACTTTCCACTGATGACATCATTTGTTTTTAAGTCGGCCATAAGAAATGTAAAAGTAATCTTCTGAGAGGTATTACGGGTTAGGTTGCAATTTCTGATACATTTTTTTCGTATACCTATACATTTTATATGAAAATTAATTCCAATCGAATTTCATAAAAATTATATTTTGAGCAAAATATTCATTTGGAACTATTTTTCATAAAAACAGTGTGATCTGATAAAAAATTAAATAAAAAAACTTTCTTCATAAAATTTATATTTACGTGTCAGTTCATCGCATTTTCGGTGTCATGCTTGAGTATCTAGATTATTATTAAAGATAGAAAGTGGCGGATTTGGCGATTTTGACAGCATCTTTGAGAGAAATCTTCAGATCATAAACATATTATCGATACATTTTTTCAGTTTTCCCGTTATAAATATACAGGGTGATTCAGTCATAATGTGATTAATTTTAACCACATACTCGGAAGGCCCAATAAAGACAGAAAATCGAAACATTTAATTCTCAACTTTTTAAAAGATAAGCAAATTATCCCTTAAGTCCCGCTCTCACATTTCCTGAAGTGAAACAGCGATGGCACATCAGAATCACATAAATAATAATAAAATATTCAAATCTACCACCGTTAATCGCATCTTCCGCATTGTTTTCCCGCAAATTTGGAGATCAGGTTATAGATATGGAGAAGAAATATGTAGAAAGTATGCAGAAAGCAATATAACCCGCAGTTTATTTCGGATTGTATCGCGTGTCGGTCGTAATGCCTAATTTTACAGATTTTGAATATGCGGAAATTGTGGTTTTAATGGAGAATGTTTACGAAATGCGAATACCGCTGCAGCAGAGGCATTACCCTCATAGACAACATTTTCTGAGTCCGTGAGTCTTTGCGTGAGTTTTTCAACGTCTTTGATACAGCGACGAGATTTTGCAGGGCATCGGCAAAATGACTTGACTGTGATAGAAGATGTTTTAAATTTAATTGACGAGTAACCTACCATTGCGACAAGAACCATTTCGAGGCGGTTGGGAACATTCCAAACAATGTCTGGAGAATATTACGAAAAACCTGTTTTTTTGTCAAAGCGTGCTCATACCTCCTCGAGGATCTTGCTGGGCAATGGTGGCAATTTAATATGTTAATTGCAAACTTTAAAAAAATAATTTATATCATTCATTACGTGTTTAACATTTTAAATTATGATCGACTGAAATGAGCAAGAAAAAGTCTAATACTAGGAAAATGTTTAAATTTGGCAACGTCGCTTCAAGCCGACATCGAGTTGACTTGGAAGTCGTGAATGTATCAATGCCGCCAGCGATCAGGAGCGGTCCGAAAAGGGGTTGAAATAATGATTTGAATTTTTTTTTTTCACCGTAAATATGCATATAAATTTTTTAAATCGCATATTCGTATTCTACTAATTTTTCTCTATCTTCTCTTAAAATTAATGACATTATGACTGAATCACCGTATATATATATATACTAGGTGTTTCAGGATTAAGTCGACAAACTTTAAGGATATTCCTCATAAAAAAATAAGAAAAAATCAAGTATATATAAATTTTTTTCCGGAGACGCTTCATTTTCNTATATATATATATATAACGTTTCCTTACTTTTTTACCTAAAATTCAGTGACGTACATGATTTTTTAGTGACTCTAACGGTTTTCGATTTACAAATCAGTCAATTTTTTTTAACAAGAAACCATAGTTCATCATATCCTAATTAAAAAGAGGGGTGTTCGGGAGGGTTTATAATTTGTCATTCAAGTCTCAAAAAGTAAAACAGTTATAGAAGTTTCTTTTTCAAAATTGGAAAGGAACAGATAGATTCGTCAACATCTTTTTTATAGTGATGTGCATTTTGAATTTATTTCCCTCTTTCAGTGTGCGATAAACCTTACATACAGAGGACGAGCATCAAGTTCATTACCATTGGCACATCCATACACAAAATGCATATCCGCATAGCTAGCAAATAATAGAATATCGGAATGTACTAAAGATTTAAAATCGTAAAATTTAATGGATATTATCACTTTTCCGGAGATATTACTAGAAATATTTCCTTCCCAGTTTTAACACCAGAAATAACACTTTGTTTATGTTACCTTTTGTCCACAGCAACATACTATTATAGTCACCCTTATATGTTAAACAGTTGTGATATTATGGAGAATTTTATAATTATTTCTTACAATGTGACTGACGTAAAAAAATATACAGGGTGTCCCTAAAAAGGGTCGGTACAACGCTCCACCAGATATTTTACGGCTCAAAATAAGTCGATTTAACTAAACTTGCCTTAGTCCAAAAATTGATAATAACATAGCTACAGGGTGTCAAAGTTAAAAGAGTTAAAATAAATAACATTTTTTTAAATCTTTCGACTACTTCGAACTAATTTCGCATCCGGGGTTTTTTTGGGATGAGAAATTCAAATTTATCGACGATTTAGTTGTATCTTCTAGAGGGCGCCACAAGCTACCATTAGGACGCATTTAAACTGCCAAAACTTTTTTGTGCCACGGTGTATTTCACTTTGGGATGGAAAAATATTTTCCCCCAACTTTTCTGCTTAAAAAAAGTATACTTTGCTAATATCTCTAAAGCCAACCGTTTTCAACAAAAAAGCATTTAAATTTGTAAATGCATAAAAAATTTGTTGTAAAGTTATTTCCAACTCAATTGAAAAACATATGTTTCAAGACAGGTCAATAATAATGTTATTTTTTAGATCTTTCAGGTTGGTTACATTGTGTTAAACTGATTAGATTGTTTTTTAGAAAGTTTACTCTGTCAATTCTGTTTGCAGTAAAATTGTTAAATACACGAAATTTTAATTTGTATAGTAACTGCACTTTTTCCTTTAAAGGCATATGTTAATAAACGATTGCTCCTAATTTCGTTTATCAGTGGAGTTAAAAATAACTTTTAAACAAATTTTTTTGATGCATTTATAAATTTAAATTCCTTTTTGTTGCGAACGGTTGGATTTAGTGATATTAGCAAGATACACCTTTTTTAAGCAGAAAAGTGGGGGAAAAATATTTTTCCAGCCCAAAATAAAATACACATAGCTCGAAGTAATCGAAAGATATTAAATAAAATGTTATATTTTTTCAACTTTGACTCACTGTAGCTCCATTATCAATTTTTGGACTAAGGCAAGTTTAGTTAAATCGACATATTTTGAACCGTGGTACTATATTTGGTGGAGCGTTGTATAGACCTTTTAGAGACACCATGTATATTTTTGTTTCTCATTTATTTGTTGTTGTGTTTGAATAATACAGACAAAAACAGATTTTTTTATATTCGAATATTTTATTTTCCTATATCTCGGAAAACAGTTCTTGGCGCTATTACATAGCTACTTTTTCGTACTTTAGAAAAGAACCTGATTTTTCTGGAAAACTGTTAAAGATGAGTATGGACAACCTTATATCAGTCGAAAGGGCATTCATTCATTCATCCATGACAATTAATATGAGTCATTCCATTTGAAGTTTTTCAACTCGTAAGATTATTAAATGTAGGTCTCAGTATTTCCGAGTTTGAATAACGTACACGTTTTGGTCACAGATGACAAGATAGAGTAATTTATGCCAAAACGAACTGTGAAAACTGCAGGTTTCTAGTTCTAGTTTTAGCCTCATTTAGAGAGCCGAAATCGTGATTTTTTTTAGGAACAACTATTATTTCGAAAACAGTAAGTTTTAAACACCATGTACATTTAATAAACTCTACCTAATATTAACCAAGAAATTAAAAAATGCAATAATATACAGGGTGTTCCATTTAAAGTAATAAAGTTATGTAGCGACCACGCAACATGGAACACCTTATAAAGCTAAAAATATTTTCTGTACATGACCCACATGATTCCAGGAAACTTTTATTAAAACCATTTTTTTTATAGATTTTAGAGTTGCAGAGTTACAGAAGTATCCCTCTTAAGTGGAACATCCTGTATACAAATCAATGACATACTATTGATTAAGTCTATAAAAATTAATCAATTTCATGCACATAAATTATTTAATAACGTATACCCGCATTTTCATATAGAAAATCCGTATTGCTTTATTTTCAGTACATAAACATTAACATTAACAAACGCCGCAACTATCTACTATGTCAAGAAAAGATAAATTACCCAGAATCAATCCGTAACATCTCAGAACAAGAGGAAAGACGGGACTAATTACGTAAGCCCGTCGAGATCCTCGAAGATGTCCACGAAAAAAAAAATAAGGATCCACATTCAGGTCATCGCGTTGCCCGGAGATCATCTGGAAGGGGGCCGAGGGAGAGAGATGGGGCCGGCTCTTATATAAGAGAGATATGGCTGCGAGTCGGCCAGCGGAATTTGTCATAATCAGTGCACACGGTGAACTAAAAGGTAAGAGAGTGAAAGCGACTCGGAAGTGTAGTCGAGTGTTTCCCTTTGTCTCCGGTAAAAGTGACAGTGACAAACAGCGGGAGAACGTAAAGAGGGCGGCTGTACGCGTCGCGGCTTCTCGGGAAAGTAATCCCGCGAAAGGACTTGTCTCTGACAAGCGGTATTCTCCGAAAAGAGAGTGCCTTCAAAGCCGGTGAATTAAAATCGCGTTCCTAATTATGTGGGCAAAAAAAAATAAAAGCTGAGTAAGATGATGGTTTCGCTGGATGTGAATTTGTACGAAAATCTTTCCTACGAAATGTCACACTGAAACAAATACGTACAATTTACATGTGATCGGCTATACTGCGGTATTTTTGATGGATTCGTACGAATAATTTGTTAAGAATTCGTATAATTTCGTTCGAACAGATATTTCGTACGAATTCGCTCCAATGTAAACGCCGCCTAAGCCATAAAATACCTAAATTATATCAAATTTATTACTGAATCGTCATGTGTTACTATTACTTCAAATTTAAAGAAAAAATAAGATACATCAAATAATAAAGTACATGAAAATAACGTTTTAGTACAACATGCACGTTATGTTTTATTGAATTCATACATTTTCTACGCAAATTCTTGAAAAAGAAAATAAAAAATTAATCAAAACACAGTGAATATGAAATGGATAGATAAAGATTCAAAAAGTGTTAGGTATAACACTGTATGCGGCAGTAGACAGCATTTTTTTACCGAGATTCGAAAATCAATTTATTTTTTCGCCTTTTATTTTTGTATTTTTTATGTTTTTGTAACATTGTATGCGACAGCAATTTATACCAATCTTTCGAATATCAATCTATTTTTGCGCTGTTTATTTTGGTCTTTTGCAATCTGCGAAAAAAATTAAAAATTAACTAAACAAACCTTTGCGCCAAAAGGTTCAGTCAAGAGTTGTTTCTATGAATCTATTTTTGCCATACAAAATCATTATATCACTTCACTTACAATTAGTTAATATTTCGAAACTTTGTTATCAAAATTGCAACTGACATTTCTTTCTTAATGAGGTTGACAAGTTGACATTAAATTTTGTTTTTTATCTGTTCCCACAGATGAAATGATTCAAAAAATCGCATTCATGCTTGTGTAAAACGAAAAATAAATAGATGGTTGAGTAAGGAAGCGATTACATTGTATGTGAATTCATAGAAAATGCGTACGAAATGTCAGACTGAACAAATATACGTGTATTTACATACGAGAGTTTACACTACAATGCTAAACAATTTAGAATGGATTCATAGGAATAATTTGTTAAGAATTCATATAATTTCCTTCGAACAGATTTTTTCGTACGAATTCGCTCCCATCTAACCGCTGCCTAAGCCTCAAAATCAATGGGGAGGAGTTTTATATTAAATTTATTATTGAATAGCCATACGTTAAAATTACTAATCTAAAAAATAAAATAGCACAATATGGTTTAGTGAACATTTTTAATTCAAATTCATGAAAAGAAGAATAAACAATCGTGTAGAAAAAAAAGATAAGAAAAAGTAGGTAGATACAGTATTGTATGTATGTAGATAGAGAGCTTTATACTGATGTTTTGAAAAATCAGTATTTTTTTTCCTGTTTATTTGGGACTTTATCACTTACGAAGAAAATTTATAAAATAAACACTTTCGTTAAAGGATTAGTCGAGAATGAAAGGAAACGTGCAAAATCCTTACTTCTACGAGTAAAAAAACATCTTTGCACACTCGGAATTTTACTTTGCAATAGGGGATTTGTGAAAAGTACTGTATTTGAGGAAAAAAAATCTTTAATAAATTCTATTATGACTTTTTTTATAATAAAAACATATTGATTGAAATCTCACACTAAAAAAATACAAATTACACAACTTCACTATCTCCAAAATGTATCTGTTTCGTTTTCAAAATTTTTACTTTCCTTTCTATTTAAATAAAGTTGATTTGTTTTAATATCTGCTTCCATATGTAGAAATTGTAGCTGTTAAAGAGAAACGTTAATTGTACCTAGTTTTCGAAACGAAAAATGATTTTCGAATATCAATGAAATTAATGAAAAAAAATTATTTCTACTAGCAAAAGTAAGCATTTTCTCAAGATTTAGTCGATACAAAAGTAACATTTTTTCTCTACCAAGCTGAAAATTTCATTTTCGTCTCGACTAAACATTAACTTAAATTCAACGGAACATGTTTGTACATACCGAAAAATAAAAAAAAACTAAAAAAAATTGTATTTGAGACATTGCATTTTTGTGATAGCGACAATGTAACGTATATTGCAATGAGGAAACTACTAAAAAAATAATTGAATAAAATTTCTGGCTCGAAATAAAAGACTTTCTTTTTCGTTCATAAACTAGACAATTTATTCACACACGAAGAAACTACATCTTATTGCAAAATACACTGTTAAAATATTACTTCATCATACATTAAATTAATTGGAATTATAGGGAAAGGAATCAAAGTAAAAAGAAAACAAAAAAATTGATATGAATATAACAAATATCAGAATTAAAATGAGAAAATGCATTCTGAATGTAAAACCTTTTCTTTTCAAAAAATAACGTTGACTTGAATTTATTATTTCGTATATTAATTTCCTATTTGTTTTTAATATTGGGAAAAAATGAGATAAGAAACACGAACTTATACAAATACATTAATGTACGTGATGGCTTTAACATGAATTAATCGTTTCCATTATTGAAAGAATGAACTACCTATTATGTAAATACTTATTAGAGAAAATTCCGAAATTTATAAAAATATTGCCTCTATTTTTTGAAAAATCTATAAATCCTATAACGATAAAGCTTTCTTAATTTTGCAATTTACTTATAAATTTCTCTAAATGCACTTAATTATTCTGACTGTTATAAGACGTATTTACTTACGATTACCTATTTTCTATTTAAAGATTTTATCATATCAATTTTTTTCAAAAAAAAAATAGGTAATGAAAATACTAACTCTATTGTTTTGTTTCAAAATAATTTAAGCGCAATAATTAAATTATTTATAAATGCCTAAAATATTTCTCAATCGCGTTGCATATTCACTTAAAAATGTATAATTTATGAGAAGCATAAGATTTATTAATAAATCGATACAAATGTCAAAAGCATTGAATGTGAAATGTTTCCTGTTCAACCGGTAATTTATTCTAAATTACTTGAATAGAAGTACCTATAGACATGAAATTGCCCACAAGTGAATGCATTTGGAAGATGTAACAGTGTTCATTTTAAACTGTAATATTCATTTATTATTAATGACTGTTACTCGTAATAAATATTACTTTAGACTATTAGACTTTATTTTAATGTTATAATTATTAAACATTTCAATGAATTTGTATATTGCCAATATAATTCTGACATAATGTACATTAATTTAACCAGTTTCTTATTTACTTTAACCAGTAATAAGAGCATTTAATAATAATGTTTTCCTTAATTGCAATTTCTTGTACAAACTCTACATTGGTTAAATGTTTCTTTTATCTTAATTTTCTTAAATTTATTAATTTTTTCATGAAATACCACATTCTTAAAAATAATTCTTCCCCTATTATATATTTAAAACAATTAATTGATGCAATAGATAGAGTAGAATAGAAATAATATTTTAGAATAAAAAAAAATTCAAACTGGCTCCTCCGTCAAAATCTCTTTTTATCGTTATACACATTTCTTAATAAATTTTAAAATCCTTTAACCGTAAAGTTTTCTTCATTTATTTATTTATCATTAAATATTTTGTAATTAAAGTATATAATTTTGTTTTCATGGAAATATGAAAATATCTTTATCGTTTTGTTTTTAAATAATCTAGGCACAACAAATACATTATTTATAAAGGCATAAAATGTTTCTCATTTTCAATTGCACTGTGTTTTCACTTAACAATTTATCATTAGATAATATATTGTCGAAGAACACTGTTGATATGATTTTTTTTAATGAATCCTACTTGTTTTATTTGAATAAACATTTAAAATAGAGTAAAACAAATGTGATAGTTAATAACAAAATATGTTTTTTTAAAGGAAAAATACATTTCTTTTTATCTTTGATAATGATATCTTTGTAATACAAACTTCTCGTTAATTTCATAATACATATATTGTAAAATCTAAAATGCATTTCATGTACTACAAATGCCTATATATAAAAATCTATGAATAATAATTCTAAATTCAAACAAAGTAATTTTAAAAAATATATTCATGTTTACCAACACATTAAAAACATTGTTAGCTTTCTTGTTCACAATTACCTCCAAAATCATCTTTCGGTTTGTTGCGAGAAGAAAAATAAACATACATTATGCAAATTTCGCAATTTAAAGTGTTTTCATCTTTACGTCTTCAATAACACGCCTTCCACGGTCGTGAAGCAACTAGAGAAACTAACACTAATTTCCATATTCTCTCAAAGCAGTAATTATCGCCGTGTTCCACAGCAAAACCGACGGTATTCAATGTCATCACAAAAATCTCTCCATTAAAGACTTACTCAATGCTTAATTGTGTTAAAAACAGTTACGCAGTTCATAAATCTTCGTAATCTTCCACACAACAGCCACGATATTTGCGAGTTTATCACAACCTCTTTGTTTTTCTTTCTAGGAACGAAATGAAAGCCATTGTGTGCACCCTCCTGGTCCTCGTGGCTGTCGCATCAGCTTTTCCACAAAAAGAAGGTGGCGCTTACACAAACGAAGCCATCAGACAAGCACAAAACACGTTCCTCATCCCCAAAGACGCCCAAATCCAAAAAGTACGTTAACGCTTCACAAAAAGATAACGTCTTGTAAATAAACGATTTGTACAGGGTTTCCCAATGAAAATAGCCACCTTAGTAACTTTTTTATTTCTGATAGAAAAAAATCCTATAAAAGTTGCAAGGCTCTTCAAGGGCGTCAAAAATTCATTTTTAGGAAAAAAAACAATTAAATGTCGTATATGTGGCTTCTAAATTCATAGGTTAGAGATTTATTTTCTTTATTTCTTCGTTATTATTCGAGATACGAAAGAAAGTTAAGCATACAAATTGTAGGGATATTAAAAAAATGTTGAGAACTACTACAAAGACAATTAAATGTGTAACCTATATTCTTTTGTTCAATCATGTTAAAAATATTGTCAAAATATCAAAATATATGACACTTATCTGAAACGATTTTCGAGATATTATTTTATTAGAGTTTTACGAAGTAACCTTAGAAGAATATTGACAGTTAAAAAATAGATGTTAATCTGTCAATAAAATAATTAACTTTGTAAAATGTTTGCAAAAATCGGTTCAAATATGTTATAACATTGCCCAAAGTGTGTTTTTCCAAGCACTTAAATCCGTTTTTCTTGGAAATGAAGCATTTTATCGAAAGAAATAAAGAGTACCGTTTTTTAGAGGAAATGAAGGTCTATCATATGTTGGCCTATGAATTTGAAAAATTTGACAAGTAAAAAAATTGAGGCAAATTATAACTGACGACCTCCCCAATTGAGACGCCCCTGATCAATTTTTGAAAAATTTTATGATCTATTTCGACTTTTAATGAGTACATGGTGTTAAAATTCATAATTTTCCTTCAACCCATTTCAGAAATATTTAAAAAAAAAATGAATTTTTTGAGGCCCCATTTAGGGGGGCGTAGCTCCCTTAGGAAACATTTCTCGACCAATGTCCAAATTATTGGACACCAATTCTGAGACACCCTGTATAATACAAAATAATGTCAACAGGTTGTAGAACAATGATTTCTTACTTATTTTAATCATTAATTTTCAACTGATACAGGAAGGCTGCTATATTAGAAATACAGTATTTAATATTCGATAAAAAATATAAATAAAATATAGGTATATTACAATAATCATATAGAAAAAATTTATACCTCTGATACTCATCGTTATATGAATAATCACAAAGCACCCACACTTTATCGGTATCATTGCTGTGTTGCAACATTATGTACAACTTAAAGTATACAGATTTTTATCGAAGTAAGAAAATTAACTGGCAAATTATTTCTAGGTGCAAGAAGGAATCGAAATCGGCGCATACGAAAGCATCCCCGGCAATCAAAAAATCAACCTCTTCGAAATCCTCGGCGATCAATTCCCCCCAGAGGTAGTGAACAATCTCCAAACACAAATCGACCAGGTCGGACGCAACTAATCTCTACTTTAAATTATTAGCAGTTAGAAAAAAATGTGATCAACAAGTTTCATCTTCACAGCTATCGTTTCCTATCCTTTTTTGCACCCCTTCCTGTTCTAATACCATCACGTCTTTTGCACGCTCCACCTTCATCTTGCACCCATCAATAATAATCTAGTCTAGACTGTCGTTCAAACTAGTTGTTACTCTAATGTGAGTCTTTCATAATAATTGCATGCATATCTGCACTCTAATTTACTGTTGCACCTTTTCCTCTCATTTCGATTGATGCCCTGACGTTCTTCCATGCAAAGTGCCAACTGTCTCCGTAGGTACATACTTTTTATTTTTGTAATTTTTGTAAATAGAAATAAATTTTTCTTTTTGTACGCCGTGTTTTTTTTTACTGAAGTTGTATTACCGCAACTCCTTTCAATTTTTAAACTTAAGTGAACAAATTGCTTAAGTGTTTTTAATATTTAAATTTAAGAAACATATAAACAAAGACCAAATAGAGAATAAACCAAATACAAGAAGAGAGAAATAGATGCAGAAAGGACAAATACAAAAAATATTGTTTGAAGAACTATAATATGAAGAGAAACAAAACGAAGAACTGCATAAAAAACTTAAAACAAATGTATATTTTTATAAACGCACGAGAAATTAAATCGAATAATAGAAAAAAAATTGCCAAAAACCAACGTAAATATAAAATCTAGTTGGATTTACGACACATACACGAATGAAAGTTGAAAATTCAGACAAGATTCCTCGTTCTGGACATTTCTCTCCATTTCCTTGTCAATGAGGAAATCCATATTAATTTATACGACACGATTATGGCCCGACTACAAATGGTGGCCAGGTGAAAGTTGAATCCGACTAGTCCTTGGCCTGATGGGTGAATGATAATTGAAAACTTTCACTTCGCGTACCACTTCGGCTTTTTCGTTGATGACTACATGTAGCCACCGTCGTGTTGAAATTCAACTTTCATTATATCGATTATTTGGAAATAATTACTATTTATGGTGTGGAGAAGGCGCTAATCAGATATCCAAGCCAAGAGCTGATTAGTGGCTTCGAAATGGTGGTTGAAGTACGAAAAGTATTACTTTAGCGTAAATGTGTTTTAAGCAATAGCCAACCTAAACTAGAAGTTAATTAGTGTCGACAAATTTCTTCATATGTGATTTGGGAGGAAAAAATGTTATATCTGACACTTGGTTTATTAAAATTTTTATAATTTTAATTTATTTTTAAAATTATTAAACTACTTATGGAATTTTGTAATTCTTAGGATACAGATATTGGCACAAACGACCAAACGCAGGAAACACCCTGTATATTATATCAAAGAGTTAGATGGCATATATGTAAGCAATAAGAAAATAATGACGTCAATTTGAGAAAGCATATATTACAAAACTTTAGAATAATTGGAAATATTTTATTTAGATGACAAAATAAAACTTTTCATCTTTAAAATAAAAAAATACAAGTGCCAGCATATACAGGGTGATCCATTAACGGTACGAAGCGGAAGTATATAGGAAACTAGACGTGCTGCGATTATGAGGTAAAAAATCTATTAACAAATACATTGATAGGACATAGCCTGCCGCGTTATGTATATATGAGTTGTAAAATTAAAACTCAAACATTTTTAATACCTTATACAGGATGTTAATGATACAATCCAACAAATTTTTAACGGAAACGTATACTTTTATAAAGTGTAAAATTTAAAAAAATATATTACATTTATTTATTTATTTTATTTTCATAAATGTCTTTTAAGATGCTTAACGTGGATTGATGAAACTTGAGCTAATGAATATGGGCAAAATAATCTGAATTGGTTCACAAATCTGCCAGTCAGTGGCGGGGATACTGGGAAACATGGTCATTGAAAACCCACTGAATGTTTTTCAAATTGAAGTTCGTTTAATTTCAGTGCTACTTCTAAGAAAAAACATGTTTTACATTTTATTCGAAAAGTTGGTAATTTTCCCGTTATTACTGCTTTTAATTTCTAATAAGCCTACGACATACTTGAATAAATAAAAAATAACTCCTACCATTCACCTTAAAAAAAAATTATTGAAAATATGTATTTATGAAAAAAACATTGATGCTACTTTTTAATTTTCTGAAAGACAATCCATTGGTATTTATGGTGGTATATTGTAGACAATTTGTTGCTTTTTAAATAATGTGTACGCCTATGTCACACGGCTCAGTTCTGACAGCTCTATTTACAAGTACTTTTCTTACTCTTTTGGATCTTATCAAATGAAGTCAAACAATGTTCTTCGATACCATAACAAATAATCACATAATAATAATAAATAATCATACATACTAAAAATGATACATGTATCTAAATATAAATAATACAAAAATATACGTGATATAATGAAACTGTTAAATAATGTAATCATTCAAAGAAACATCCAATTTTTTTTAAAATAACTTATTTGTTCTCATGTCATAATTGCTGCTGGTCTGGATAATTATAATATAACCTTTTCTGCACAATCTTTTAACTTTTGTTTCTATTTTAGAATAAAAATTTAATTTTAACTATCAACCAGTCAATAAAAATGTAACACAAAGTTCTGTTAAACTAATGTGATAAAATGTTTAAAACTACTTAATAAAATATGAAATAAAACTAATTAAAAATTAGAACTACTTCAACATAAATCGAATAGGGGATATGAAAAAGAATACCATAAAATTTTCGTTGGATTCTAATCTAATAGTTATTTAATATGCTTGGTATATATAAAAACAATGAGTATACGTACGGCTTGCAACATTTTTATAATCTGTGCTGCAATGGTAGACTCACAGAGATATTCGTTGCATGTAAAGAGGGTTGCATATATTCAAATTCGGAACACGACCTTGCAAGAAGTAACATCATATTAGATGTATCTACTAAACGAAAATAAACTAATTATTATTTATTAAATTAACACTTAAATTTAGAAAATGTTAAAAAATTATCAACATATTTGTAAAATGTAATTAAAGGTAAGTAAAATTAAACTATTTTATTTAAGCAACCAAAAGTTAAATAAGTAAAAAACTAGTAAGTGTTCTCAGTCATGTCTTACCAAAAAGTAAGAGGTGTTTTTTAAATTAGAAAAATCGGTTTTTCCGCCAAATCTTTGAACACTATTTTTTTTTATTTGCATTATCTGATTCCACAATTCCAACAGATAAAATATTATTCATATATCTGAAGACTACATTACGACACAACATTCTGTTTTACCGGCTGGTGATGTAATTTTCACAATATTAGCGTAAACGTAATAGTTTGTCATTGTTCATTGTAAACGAATCATTAATATTGGTGACGCAATGATTTAGGGATTTTTAGTTGATACTAACAGCTGTGCAATGTTGATTGCCTAAGATCGTAGGTCACGTGGCTTGTAATTATTTATTAAGGCTCTGTATATTAAATTTATTCTTCTATATACCTGGGAGAACAATGCAATGTCTTCAAAAAAAAATGAGACAAGCCTTTTTAAAATAATAAAATACACACACACGTTTCGTAAAATAAATTATTGATATATTTTCTAATTTGTGAATTCTACGGACCCTTGGCTTCTCCCTAGGTACGTCACTGGTCTTGATACTAATAAAAAGAGAATTATAGACTATTCTGTACATATTTCCGATACAATACGAGTCTAAAAAATTAACTACTACGTCCATAAACACTCATTTGGCCCCATTTAACAAATAACTGTTTCCGAAATCACATAAAATCCGAATTATAAATTCGTCTACTACCAGGTGACCCCTCCCATATTATTTGCTCAGAGATCACAACGAGAAGGAAGCTAGCAACTTAATTTAGTAACACCTGATCCTTTTTTTTCTTGTGCCGTAATTTTTCACTGTCAGCATGCCAAACGATTTGTTAATGAAGCGGCAATCTAACAAAGAGTATAACAGCAAGGCGGTTGATTGAAGATTTAAATAAATAAAAAAAATTACACACACAGATGTGGCACAGAATCGTACAGGGTGTTGTGTGTCGCAAGGATATAACTGTTTCTTAAAATAGAATTACTTCAGTCCATTTTAAAGTAATTAGTATTAGTATATAATTGAAATCAAATTGTGTAGAAGATTCTTTGCATTGATTAACTGACTATTTTCGATAAAAGAAAATAAAATCAAATGTTTTGTTACAATTTAAATTTAAAAATTAAACTTTTTAAATTTATTTTATTCCGAAGATAATCATTATTTGTACAGTAACAGCTATTTGAAAATATAGTATCCCATTTCAGCATCGGTTTATGGAGAAGAGGTAAAAAAATCACTAATTTATCTTATATTACATATATCCAAAAATTTTGACTTTTAGGGGCAAGTAGATGTTAAATATACCGATGCAGAAAGCCTTAAATCAAACCGATCGTTATTTTATTGCCAGATCCGGAGTTCCACAAGGATCGAATGTAGGACTGTTCTTATTTTTAGTATACACCAATGACATAACATCAAATGTGTTCTTATTTCCCGATTGATGGGATTATGGGTAGAACTAAAACACTTTAATAATTAAAAGACATTGTTTATTCACTTATTCAGATATCACATCTATTTTGTGTCAAATCAGATTGAAAACTAAAATTCTGTCTTAAGCTTAGTGCTACAATATACCTCTGTAAGCATTTTTAATTTACGGGCAAATGCTCTTGAACCTTCAGCTGATAAATATAAACACATTAAAAGTAGGCATTAGTATCTAAGGATGGGGATGTTTTTGTATACGTAATTTTAGTATCTTTCAACACCGATGATATGAAAATGTTTAGTGTTAAAATAAATAAATGGTGTTTCAAACTAAATATATTTAATTGCAAAATTATCTCGGTCACGAAAAATGCAATAATATCTTATCATTATCAGATTAATAACATTACTAACTTATATCTTATAAAAATTTGGGAATATTGTTGGTTCTAAACTTACTTTTGTGAAGATTTTTAACTAGAAATATGATTCAATATGATGAACTGAAAATTATTTTTATTTTCAATATTTTCAAAAGTTTTGTCAATCAATTTCATTCATTATTCAGTAATATATTTTTAAGGAGTTATATTTTATTTCTGAATATTTAGTCTTTGGGAGAAATCTCAATTTTGCTTTTACATTTTTTTTGTTTTTTTTAATTTATTCTTAAGTTTTTTAAGGTAAATAATTATTTTACGATATTTTATACTTCTTTTATTACATGATAGCGTAACTTATAAAACGAATCACTTCTATGGAAGAAAAATAAACAAATAAAAAATCTGTCACAATTGACAATTAGTTTCC